TCCCGGGAAATGGGATGAAAACCTACCGCGACAAAGTTAGATTAAAAGATAGACAAGCAAATTCAACTTTCCAATGGCGGCATTGCGTTGCGCTGTCGCAGTCGTGGTTAAAAATGGGACGTCAGTAACTTTAAGCAAGCAAAGCTCTTATCCATCTTTATATGATATGAAATTCGATCCCTGGGCAATCCATCCAGTACATATACATTCTATTTCACTTTCATTTCATTTATTGATTTCTTAAGCAATTACAAAGTCATAGGCCTGTTACCTAGTTACATAGATACGCTTTATGTGCAAAAACAAACTATAACTTAAGCGAGCATATAAGTCAGGTAGATGGCTGCTAATGTAATCATCTTGCTCCGGCAACAAAGGAGTTAAGCAGTGCGGTCTTCTAAACATATTCAAAGAGTTATCGGAGTATTTCTGACTCAGTGGTAACGCATTCCAAAATTGCAGCAACATTTTTATATTGAGGTTGGATGGATGACTCAGCACAGTTAATACAAAGCATATTTTATCTATCATCCAGGGTAAAAACTCGTTAATATTGCTTTCGAGCGAATGCAAGTTATTTTCATTATCTCTATAAAGCAGAAATATGCCATCTGTATATGTAAAACGAGAGCCGTCGTTACCAACCAAATCCCCAACATTATCTACGAAGGGATTAACAATAGGGTATCAGTGATGATTCCGTGGACAATACGAATTCAATTCGAAATTCAATACAAAGATTAACGAAAGTTCAAAAATGTATTTTACACCAAACGTGTTTCTATTACAGCAACGAAAACTTTTACAGAATTTTTACTCTTCCATGTACGATACACCTCGAACTACGTATATATTAAATAAACTAAATAAAAAAAAATTGAAATTTATTTCATTCCTATTATTATTAATTTAGTCAGGGAAATAAATTCTGAGATTATCTGTCAATTTTTTTGAAAACTCTACCGCACTTGAGACTTGAACCCACGAAAACTGGCTTGTTAGGCGAGATCTTTTGTCGGCCATTTACGCGAATATTTATGCAAAAGTATTTTTTATATATACCTCTGTATTTTTTTTTAATTTTATTTTGTTTAGAGCATTAGCGTTCAAGGACAGTCCAACCTGTCATACTAATGAGGTACATTGTGAAATTAATGTAACCCGTCATCGACTAAAACTAGCGGTTGCGATTTTCCTTAAAAATGTTCATGGTGCGCTAAACAATCATTTCAAAAGTTAAATTGCTTGTAAAACAAATACGCTTTTTATACGTTCCTTTTAATTTTTTTGGCGCAATAGAACGTTTCAAGAGTTAATTTGATTTCAATTAGATGGTGGCGCACCAACACTAAATAAATCTCCAAGGAAGTTTTTAAGTTTTCTAATTAAAAATAATTGTTCGCTAATAGGTGTTTTCAGGAACGGCTCAATACGGCTAAATGGATACGGGAGACTTACATACATGTACAATTTTTTACATAATGCTTACAATATACTCTGGATTAACATGGGAGTCCCAATAGACCGGGAGCCGGTTTACGATTCTCGTTATCAAGCTATTCTGCCTTACGAAGCACAAAACCGATGCAATAGTTTTTTTGGTTTGATGATACTTGGTTACTTGGGATTGTCATATGTTGCAATTACAAAATTGTCTGTACGTATATGTGGTGCACATTCACTTGTTCGCAAAAAAGAAGATATCGCCAGTAAATTTTGCAAAAGAGTTTGCACACAACACGCCACCAATGCCCGCACGTCTAAGCATCCACAAGAGAGAACAGTTTTGCTTTCCATGTCCTCTGCTCAAGCGTTTTGCTTCCTTACTGATAATAAATTCGTCCTCATAAGTATGCACCTGGAGACTCTAAAAGCTCTTGGTCCTGTTCGACAGCCAGAGAATCTCTCGGTATGGACAAAACGCGAAAAATAATTTCAAACAAGAGTCGGGTCGCGAATCGCTTATCGCTTACGGCATAATAAGATTGTAAATTCCTCGTAAGCAACAAATATATAAACGAAAATACGAAGGTCCAAGAGTTTTTATATCAACTTTCTTGGAAAGGGACTTCCTGGGTAAACCTGAGTAAACCCCGAAGTCAAGACTCGTTGCAACGATATAAATTTTCACAAAATTATTCTACAGAAACGTCCGATACCAGGCACACCCATCCAATGTTTTTGCCACCTTTTACAGGGCAACAGTAATGGATACAAAAGATTCGATCGCAACCGAATATAATTTTCTGACTTGTTTATAATTACTTTCATCAAATATTTTCACGCAAACTTATTAACGCAAGATTACCATATTCCCTTTGAAATATCTTCACAGGATCGAAAGCTGTAGATGGAAATATGAGAAAATTATCGTTTTCTTGTTAAGGTTGTTTCTCATTTACGATGTGCGTGTATTTTGGGCAGAATTGCACTTAATTTAATAGATAGCAAAATGTATCTAGATAACGAATCCTTTCTTGCACTTCTTCTTTGTTCATTTGCATCTATTTGTACGGCTTTTTTTACTACTTGAAGAAGTAAGAAAACAAGGGGAGGAGTTGAAAGAAAAACCGGACACAATCTCTATGTGTGGATGTGCTTCCATGTTGTTAAGAAAAAAAAGAAAAACTGGTCACCTCACTATTATTCATTGTGAGAGACAAAACATGATGAAGTCATTTCTTAATAAGTAGCGGTCTAATCAGATTTCGATGAAACGCTCATTTCTTCAGAGTACCAAGCACGCAGAGACACAAAAAAAGAAGAATCAAGGTGTGATCTTTATTCTCTCACACAGTCGATCAGTTGATATTCATTGTTGACAAATTCTACTCGAGAGAGAAGGTTAAGATTATATTTCAGCAAAAATCCGTCGGAGTAGCCGAAGGCGAGGAATCTCGACTAGCAAGTCAATGGTCGTGGGTTCGGATCTCAAGTGCGGTAGAGTTTTTAATAAAAGCCGATAGCCTCAGATGCTAGTGCTTTTAAGAGTTTAGTCTTAGAATTTATTTCTCTGGCGAAATTAATAATAATAATAATATTTTAGCAAAAAAATAACCGTAAGATTTTAACTTTTTCCTAAGAATTTAAGTCAATCTTTTTCCTGAAGCTTAATTATTTCTTAAGAAGTTAAGTTAATTTCTTATATATTTTAAATTTGAAATTTCACGAATATTGCCTTGCAATTAAAAATAGTTAAAGGATTTTGTGAGGCTCTGTGCAATTTTTACAAAAATTTTAATCCTCCGCTGAAATTTTCATATCTTCAATAAATCAGTAGGGAAATATAACAACGCATATAACGTGTAAGGCCTGATCTTTAGTCTTACTGCTTCATCATAGTTTAAAGATCTCTAATTATTTAAAGAAATTGTTTAGATAGCGTGGCTGAAATCATTTCAAGTTCATTAAAGTTATAATAGTGGGCGTGTAACATTACATCTATATATACATACTTCTTGATACATTTCAATTATTTCGGAAAGCGTTTGCTTTCCAACAGTACGATACCAGATTTTATCGACCATTTACCACGACCTTGCAAAGCATATATTCCTTGCATTTCCTTTAGTACAGGCCAGGTACCAGCAAGTGTATGTATATACTAAAGAAATTAAAGTGAGGTAGTTTTGTCGCGAATATTAAATTCCAAAGCGTTTACAGATATGTTTCTCGACATCAAGAAAATTTTACACTCACGAGAGCTAAATACTACTTGTGTGGATAAGATAAGTCCGCTTGCTGAATGAAGCTTAACTAAGACCTTTTTCTTTCTATCGATGAAATGTCCATAAATGTGGCCGTACGGCGCTCAGCCATATTTCCACTCACAAATCGGTCGAAGACCCTTCAACGGCTATCGGCAAAGCTTCGCAGAAATTCCTGCTTTCACTAAGGAAAGAAAAACACAGTGCTACATTTTCCTTGTGGCTGTGGGACTCGGCTCTCATCACCTTACAAATAAGGATTACGAGCAAAGTGAAACTAACTATTCCGGAATAAGTCATCAATCAGACTTCGCAGCTGTACTGAGGCATTGGTGACTTTGAAGCATAGAAGAAGCATTGGAAATTTGTCTAAGCTATATAAATAGATATATGATGTTGATGGTGTCAAGAAAATCTGTCCGAAGCTCATTTAAGTTGTGTAGAGCAAGTTCTATCTTAAAATCTTATATTCTGAAGAGAAATTGGAATTGTGCTTTGCTATATATATATGGATAAAGTAAAACCCATCTGGGTCTTTTTTTAATATTATTTCTCTTGACTGACTAAGGACGTATCTATGATCTTATACGCTTGATCATTCGCGATCGATTAGGACGGGATTACTTTCCCAGATTAAACGCATGTGTATTTTAGGCCTTATAGCGCCAAATGAATTAGTCATAGATATAAATCCGAACACCATCTAAACCCATGATTCTTCGTTCCGTCAAACACCCTCCTGCGGTAGATTTGTGTGCGATCACTACGACCACGAAGCCTCCCAGAAGACCAACATTAAAACTACTCAAGAAATATGTCAGAGCTTTGAAATCTTATGTGTTAGATTATCATTGCACCACAATAATTTCTCGCAAATGCTCAATATGCGCGCCAAAGTGGCATAACAGTAAATATCGGTCTTTTTAGACCAATTCTCTATTCGCATGATTTTCATATAATTGCAGAAAAAAGCAAAACCATTCCCGTCACGTTTTCTTTATCGTCGTCCTTATTACTAACTTCCCACAGTAATCATCAGTAATTATCACCTTGTGGAGGGGAACTCTTACTCTCTTCAATAATTGTAAGTTAAACCTAAGTTAATTTCTTAAAGAAATACTTTTCTCAACCTATGCAAACAAGTTGTTAAATCTAATAAGCAAATATAATTCATCTGGTAACCCTAACGATCTGGCTGCTCAATAAGATTTATGAGTGCATCGGAGAGAGTTTTGATTTTGTTGATGCTCGCTGTTCCGTTAAGCATTCATGACAATATGATTTTCTTTTCTGTTTTAGTTGAGTTAGTTTTTCTTAGTGTTGTAGACGACGTTACTTGTCGTTGGCGCTTAAATACGGTTTCATTTTCTTGATTGAGATCATATTAGAATGGGTTTCGCAGGATCAGTAATAATTGTGATAATATCATTGGGTGCAACGGTCATAATAAAAAATTACTTTTTTGTGTCAAAGCATCTTCCAGCCCCTAAACTCAATTTGAATGCGTATTGGGGGCCTGGCAGTAGTGCATTATACAAGGAAAACACTATTGTGAAATCGTACGATATCACAGTGAAGTCTGAGGTAATAGCGGATTATTTCATCATTATAACGGGTTATTAAACCGCAAAAGAAAAAGTATCAACACATTTCGATAGAGTTTTCTCGGTTTATTGGCATTTAAAGCAGAAACTTTTTTTCAGGTTATTGCAGACTTAAAAGCTCAACTACAACGTCCTTTGAAACTCCATGAGCCCTTGGAAGATGTCAACTTTGAGTACGGTTTCAATTCGTATTATTTAGAGAATGTGGTGAAATACTGGCGTGACGAATATTTAGCGAATTGGCCGAAACGTGAATCATTTTTGAAAAAATTTCCTCACTTTCAAACCGAAATTCAAGGGTAAGCGAAATAAACGATTTCTAAATCAAAGGTCCTCGCCATTTTCAGAATAAAATCATTTCAAATCCTATTATTCAGCGGTGTACGAAAATGTTGACTTTTAGGAAAATTTTTTATAAAAGAACCTATGTCTTCATGAAGTCTACTTTTTTTCCTTTTTTTTATTCGCATTAACATCATTATTATTATATAGTCCCCGTACACTTGTTTAACGTGAGAGTAGAAAAAAGTAAAATATCAGGAAATGTTAAAATCTCATGAACTTGGGAATAATAACAATAGCTGTTAGTTAGGAAGACACGTTCTCTTCCAGCGAACGACTGACAAATGTTACATAATGTTTAGATCACACCTTTCTTTTTTCTTTTTTTATATATATATATATATATATGGTCAAATTAAGTGGACTAAGCCAATGATAAGTGTGACTTACATGTCCAGATTATAAATGAATGATGTTTAGTTGCAATGTATGTGTATGCAGATCCTTTAGGATTACACTGAACTTCGCAAATTTCATTTGGTACATTTTTAAATACACTCTATGGCCACTGATGAATCTGTAAAAACTCTTGATCTCCCAGCACTTAAAAGCCGTTTCTGATAGGGACTTGAAGGGAAAATGCAGCTCACTTACTATCAGAATTAAGGCATTCTTTTTCTTCTTTTAACAGACTAAATATTCACTTCATTCATGTGAAAGCTCAACAGACAGCGGGGAAAACAGTGTTGCCTTTATTACTTTTGCATGGATGGCCCGGTTCAGTACGAGAATTCTACGAAATAATACCTTTGCTCACGGAGCCCAATGATCAAAATAATTATGCTTTCGAAGTGATAGCCCCTAGTCTACCTGGCTACGGTTGGTCTCAGGTAATTTTATTCATTAAAACATAATTTACGAGATAAAAGCTTTGCATATTCTTTTCATACATTTTAGGGTTCATCTAAGAAAGATTTTGGCTGCGCCCAAGCAGCTGTGATAATGCGTAATTTGATGCTACGCTTAGGTCATAAGAAATTCCTTGTTCAAGGTGGAGATTGGGGCTCGATTATTGGCGCAAACATGGCAGCTCTCTTTCCGCACAACATTATCGGCTATCATTCAAATATGTGTGGCAGTATGGGACCCACGACCATTCTTAAAATGATAGCAGCCTATTTTATGCCCAGTTTATTCTACGATAAACAATACACCAAATTCTTTAAACCATTGCCTGAGCTATTTTCTTATCTGATGGCAGAAACAGGTTACCTGCACATACAAGCCACAAAACCCGATACCATAGGAGCAGCCCTAACTAGCAATCCTGTTGGCTTAGCTGCTTACATTTTAGAGAAATTTTCCACTTGGACAAATCCCCAATACAAACATCTACCTGACGGCGGTGTTACAAGACGCTATACATTAGATGCCTTGCTCGATAATGTTATGATTTATTATGTAACTAATTCTATAACCACTTCCGTACGTCTTTACGCTGAACAATTCAGTCAGAGTCAAGGTCAGCTGCAACTGGATCGCGTTGCTGTAACGGTGCCAGCCGGTTGCGTACGTTTCCAAAACGAATTGATGCATTCTACCGATTCTCAGTTAAAGGAACGATTCCTTAATCTAGTGCACAGTACATATCACAATCAAGGTGGCCATTTTGCCGCCATGGAATTGCCAAAAATTTTGTATGAAGATTTTATAGATTTTGTTAAAAAACTTGATATTTAATGGAGCGTATTACGTGCGTGCTAGTAAGTGAAGAGCTTTTTTTAAACGGAAATTTTATGTATGAATGAGTAAAATTTGCACGAAGCGGAAAAAGCTTTTCCAATATAAACATTTAACTCTCTATAATGTTTGTCAAACTTTATAGAAAATTGTATAGATATGTAGGAAAAAGCGATATAAACCAGACCTATCTAAGCTGTTTAACCTGGTTTTTTTGGATGAAAAAAAACTTCTTTTCATAAATAAAAGGTTTACTTACATCATCCGTCCTAAGGCGCCTACCAGCGCCTATAAGTGTCAAGCTCCACGAGCACATTTAAGCTAAGAATATAAGTAAATGGAGCAATTATTCAGGATACGTCTCCTATACATGCAACACTGTGGCGTGACACAGTCGAAAAGAAAGACGGAAAAGGAAAGAGTTGGAGAGCTGGCACCCACAATCCAGTGTAAGCGTTATGTCTTTACCAGCTGGGCACTCACTATACCCCGACCAAAGTAAGTAAGCTCTACCGCACTGGGATTTGAACCCGCAAACACTGATTTGCTGGTCATGATTCTTGTCTACTCGGCTCCTCATGCGGATATACGCAGGAACTATCCAAGAAACCAAGGAGCCGAACTGACAGGGCTATTAGTCAAGAAAACGGTTCGCTGTTGTTATACCCACCGTCGGAAAATAAATGGTTTCTGGCGTTTTCGTGGCTGCCCTTACAAAGTCTGTAAATCAATATGGAAGCAATATTTTTTTTATTTTTTTTTATATCTATTTTTATATATTTTGAAGGAAAAGGCTGGTAGCGCTAGTAAAACTGTTGATCAACATCTTCACGATCGCAATTATTTTTAAACTCGATCTGTGAAAATTTTGTATCTTGCTTTCTATCCTTATTATATTCATACAAACACGAAAGTTGCAATATAAGTGACTTATGGACGGACGGAAAGACAAAGAGACAGTTTACATTGATTTTGAACCTCAAGCCGAGCTAGAATGCATATAGTTGATATAGTGGCAGACGGTCAAACAAAGATCCAGTTTGCACACTTGATAATGTCCTGGTTGCTACAGACAGAAAGCGAAGGCCAGCGTACTTCATTTCTTGACTGATAATTAATTGTGTAAATCCAAACCGGTTTTAAAGAAGTTTCTACTTTTGTTTATACTCTCTTTCACTCTTTATTAATAAGGATAATGAATGGATCGTTATCTTATAACTAAAAAATTTGCCTAATATAGTTGGAGGAGCTTCCTCCTATCCAAATCCCTGATATTTGTTAGCACTACCTACTACTATCATTGTAGCCGCAAAATTCAAATTCCACCGATGCCCAATCTTTCGACCATTTCAAACAAATAATAAACGAAAAAAATTGCATAAAGGAAAATAGTATCGATGGTCGACAAGAATAAGTCAATGCAAAAATGTAAATACCTTTAAAGGCGCATCAAAGTTTCTCAGGATCGACTTGTTGGCCACTACGATGCCTAGCAATAGCAATTTTCTAATTTGCCAGCTTACAAGTGCTATTAAAAGCGCGAAGGAAGATTAACTGATAACATCATAAAAATCAATTTCTCGGTCTGAAATGTCTTCTAAATAAAAGAATATCGGAGATAAACACATTTTGCCACCGAAAGCATCTTTTTTCCTTTCATCTGAATAAAGTCTGTTAGGTTTTCACAAGAGTTCGAAAAACCGAAGAATGATTGAATGTGTGACTCCCAGACTAAAAATAAACAGAACTTTTCTGTTTATCATAAACCATTGCACACGCATAATAAAAGCTTATCAAGAATTTCTCGGCTTGACTTTTGTTTTGCTTTTCGTTATCTAATGTATTCCAAGCACACGACGTGCCAATCTATCTAATATTGTTTTAAAAAGTGCACTAGCAATTATAATAATCGACTGTTTGCGATCTCTCTTTCTCGCTCTCTCACTCTTTCTTGTTAATCTAAACAATTAAGAAAATTATATTCGGCCGTCATCGAATCGTGTATGCCCAACACTTTTATCTTAAAAACATAAAACTTGAAAAAGTTCTGATACACTAGGTGGGCGTGACCCATTTTTTTCATTTTTCTGCAAATATTTTAGGAAGATTTTTATAGATTTTTCTGCCATGTTTTTTGAAGAACAGGAGCATAATTTGACCAATTTTCAATGGCAACCAGCTGACAGGGACTGCCAATAGGTCCGCGAAATTTGTGGCCGATATATTCGATTTGCGACCAGCATAGTGCTTACCCGCAGACGTTATATTAATAGACAGACTTCCATCGATCCAAAATTCGACCTTGATTACGACTATATATATCGCATATAGAGTCTTTACAGTTCCCTTCTGCTCGTTGCAAAGCTTTTCACAAAAGGAACATACCCCTTCCCTTGTTAGTGGATATAAAATTGAATGCCGAATAATTTTCATACAATTTTATATATCACAATGCAAAGTACAATGTCACACTCACCATGATCGAGCTCAACGTCACATTATCAAGATATTTTTTTTGCGTTTTTTATGGCCTATGATCTCAAGTCACCTAACTAAACTTTATGAGAAAAGCGCTTCACTGAATACTTTCTGCGATCCAAAATCCAAAAATTATATAAAAAAAAAAATTTTTAAAAGTTCGCAAGAGGGGAAATCTTCAATGCCAGCGAAGAAAAAATTTTCAATATAATGTCAACCAATAGCAGACAAATAAATTTCATACTACGTACTGCGCAATATCACATGGAGTCGCTGTAAAATACACACCATCCGGTAGGGTATTTGTAACTACAGCACGACTCAGGTCTGCAACGCACTGGTATAAGCAAAAAAGAAAAAATTCTCATTAAGAATTGAAGCCGATAGATTTCAAGTGGTGCTCAACTAGTTCTTTAAAGATTTTAAAGCGGTAGCTTTTCTTCTCGTACGATAAAGGGATACTTGACCACATATATGAACTTAAGCCATAAAATTGAATGTTCCTGCATCGAAGTTGATGCCACATAATGGCTGAATAGCAGAGATAGCAGAGACTTAAAGACGACTTATTGCAGTCTATGTAGAGAGAGTAATCTTCTCAAATAGAATGGAAGCTGCGGAGAAAACATGAACGATGTGCCAAACTATTTACGTAGCGTAATTTCTCAATGGTTGGCCAACTATTGCTGCATCGATTGCCTGAAGGGAACATGATACAGCTCCCGTCGTTAACTATCCACTGAGAAGTACACTTGCTTTTCAAAGCTTCAAAACTTATGGATACCTCAAGGAATGACAGTAAAAATGAATCGTTCTTTTTCCTCAAAGGTGTCAAAAATTTGCAAACAAAATTGGTCAGTGAATTATATGAACTGCATTTTCGAGTTATTATTAAGTCATTATTCCTTCTTATTAACTAATTATTCGTTCAATTAACAGCCGAAAGAAGTGCAAAGTTAACTCCACAGCACGCATCGATGAATTATTAACTAGGGACTTTCTTCATCCTCATAGAGATCGAGAGAATAAAAAAACGCAGTGCATAGTATTTGTTAAACGTTATAGTTCCCTCTTATATTCCTTTATCTTTGCAAGTCGTTCAACTTTTTGCACAAAACTTATAAAGTCATTATATAAACTATCCGGTACTTCCAAAGCGGCAAAATGGCCGCCCTCGTGATAGTAAGTGCTGTGGATTAGATTTCGGTATTTCTCTTCCAATTGAAAATCTAAAAAGTGTATTAAATCATTTTTAAAACGAACACAACCAGTCGGCACATAAGTAGGTACGTAATCCAAACGGAGAGTCATTTGCTCTTTAGAGAAATGTTCTTTATAAACGCGCTGCGTTGTTGTGATGGAGTCTGTCAGATAATAAATCATAACGTTATCTAACAGATCGTCGAGCTTAAAACGTTCCGTCAATCCGCCATCTGGACAATGACGATACGAAACATTTGTCCATATAGAAAATTTCTCCAGAATGTACGCAGCCAAACCCACCGGGTTATTTAGTAAAGCAGTGCCAATTGTGTCAGGTTTGGTAGCTTGTAGATGCATATAACCGGTCTCCTCTAAGATGTAAAGCCATTTATCCGATATGGGAAAGAAAAAGTCCTCAAAACCGCTTGGAGCAAAAAGCCTTGGAAAGAAGTTCGCGAGAAATCCCTTAAATATAGAGTTTGGGGTATTTATTGCACAAAAATTCGAATGGTAGCCGAGAACATTTTCAGGGAATAGAGTAGCCATGTGTGAACCAATTATTGAGCCCCAATCGCCGCCTTGTATGAAAAATTTTTTATAACCTAAACGTAACATAAGATTACGCATCATGACGGCAATTTGGGCAGGACCTAGACCTGGTCTTGAAGTACCCTAAAATGTAAAAAAAGAATTCTACTTTAAACGGTCACGTTTTCAATGAACCGCATGTTTACCTGAGACCAAGCATATCCCGGCAAACTAGGCGCTACAACATTAAAAATATATTTATTTTCCTTATCAGTTTCTGTTTGATGCAATTTATGAATTAAGTCGAAAAACTCTCTTACTGAACCGGGCCAACCATGCAATAGCAATACCGGATAGTGATGTTTATCAATGGTTTGATCATCATAGGCCATCAAATGGAAGAAATGCAAACGTAAACTGAAATGATTACGATTTTAATGTAATTATTCCTTATCTAGTGATGGGAAGTAGTTATGGTACCCTTGAATATCGGTAGTGAAATGATTGAACTGCCAAAGGAATATTTCCCTCTCTCGCCAACGTGGCAAATAGTCATCACGCCAGTATTTAATAATAGATTTCAATGCTTCTGTATTGAAACCGTATTCGAAATTAGCGCCTCTAATGGGTTCAGTTAAATGCAAGGGACGATTAAGTTGCTCTTTCAATTCATTGATAACCTAAACTCGTATTAAAAAACAAAATTGCTCAGATGTGCGCTGAAATATCAAAGTATGAAAAAAACGAAATACTTACACTTTCCTCATACATTAAACGATTATTGATGACCTCTGAAGAATTGTCCAAATAAGCCTGCCAATCTCTAGGTTCTTCCTCATCTCCCCACCATTGATTTAAGGGTAAAGTTGGCGCTGATAAGCCGCCCCATGGATAGAAGAAGTGCTTAAGCCCCACTGCCACGACTATCATCAGCAGGATCATCAGAACGCCCTTACCACTCATACTTTTTCCTTTCTGTATAAATTTTATTTATTATAAGAACTTCAAGTATTATTAAGCACTTCTTTGATCGCAGTAAAATGATTTCGTGGACTACCACTTCTGATAATAAATATGCTTACACAGTTATTATTGAACTGACAGCGATTAAAGGCAGCTTTCAAATAAATGCTTTTAACGATTGTGAAATGCTCACGCTTTTAAAAAGTATTCTCTATTAGGCGAGAGAATATTAGCGATCGATTCTTATCGACGGGGAGTAATCTAGCATATCTAACACCTATAACTTGAAATTAATTATATATATATATATATATATATATAAATAATAACGAAAATTTTTGAAAATGTTTTAAAAAGTATACCTTATCCTTGCCCTTAGTTCACAAATGCATGATGGATGACAGATTTTTATTAATTGTAAGAACTTCATGAGAGCTACATCTTTAATAAAAAAAAAAATAAAAAAATAAAAAAAACAGACGGATGGACGGAAAATGCGCAAAGCACGTATATTTGCCATATTGTCTTGAATCCTCTGCTGTTAGGCATAGGAAATTTATTATTAAAGAACAAATGCTAATTAGAAATGCAAACATAAATAAATAAATGCAAAAATAAATGCTAATCAGAAATGCAAATAGAAGCCGCGCCTGTCCACGTTACCATATTGTTTTATAAGTAAATATAACGAAATCGATGTAAATGTAAACAAGTCGCATATCAAAAGCTTTCAACTTTCACTTTCTCCAGATACCCAGCCATATGGGCATCCATGGTAACATTATTACTGAGAAAATTGCATCTTCCAAATCAAGGTATCGCGGTAATCGACCTTTAATTTCTTCCGACATAAAAGCGTTTAACAAACATCAAGAAATTCGCAATTGGCAACAGCGATGGAATACCTGAGCTTATTTATATCCTCTGGCTCCGCTTATAAACCGTCGTAGATATTCGCCGCCCTCAAAACTTAGTGGCTTATCTAATAGATTTTTCTTTTTTCAACGAGCACAACAAATTGGAAAAAAACGTTATTCCTTGTGTTCCTTTCTCCTTGTAAAACAATATAAAGAAAATTTCGAATATCATGTTACAAAAAAAAGGTAAATTAGTATAAAATTTGTAAAATTAGACAAATAACCGTTAAATTTAAAAGAAACGGTCGTGGATGCTTCTGCTCTTTCTATTTCTTATGTGTGTGCGTTCATGCGAAGCCATATGATTTGCTAATTCCCACAAAGTGCTCGTAAATAGGAATAACGCATTATTGTGGCAGCTAGCTGGATATCTTTGAACGGTGCTTGAACTAATTACCTCTTTTTTTATTATTACTATTATTATTATTATTATTATTATTATCAATAATTAGCCAGAGCAATGAATTCCGTATAATATACTTATCGCAAAGAACGACGCCTGAAGCAGAATCAAAGAGAAAAGACCGTTCGAATTTTCCTTGGCATAAAAATATCAGTATTTTAAAAATTTAGAGCCCGTCGTTTATTTCTGGTAGAAAGATGCAGGATTCAAACAGAATATCATGCAGTACGCATTGTTTTTTCTATGTTTGTGCCGCAAACTTTTTTGAGGACCGAGGAAAACAGAATTTCATTATTTATTTATTTGCAATACCCTTTCTGTATTGAGCTCTTACTATAATTTGTGAGGAAGACATACGCATGTTCTCAGTATTGAAGAGGGGCTTTAGTGCTTTTGCAAGACGATCGAAAAATATAAATTTTCTATGGAACGTCAAAGGCATTGGGGTTTTCAGTTAAATATGTTGATAAAAATATCTTTTAGTAGGGGGCGATATTGACAGATGCCTTAGAAACCATTTATATATCTTCATACTTCACATTCAAAGTTTGTTTTCGCAAAAACTCCTTTTTTATACGGTAGAAATGTTCCTTAAATAACCGTACAAAAAAAGGATGAAAAAAAAATACCTGCGACATGTGGTAAATATAAGCATATGCCTTACAACTTTATAAAATCGTGTAAGATGAAATATTTTCCTCGAGAAACCGTGCAAAAAAAGCAATAATGATACAACAATCCTTTTTTATTTAAAAAGATTTAAAATTAATGTACAGTGAATATTCGGTCCATTAGCACAGCATATAAAAATTGAAATTAGGAATAAAAATCAATTTCTGAGCTATTCATCGGCTGCTTGATAGTAACCGTGCAAGTTAATTACGGACTGGACTGAAAATGTCAGTAGTTAGGACAGACATGTACAATGCAACTGTCAGGTTTGGTTCAATTGAAGAATATCGATCGTTATTAACGGCCTTTGTTGTTTTTTTTTTTTTTTTTGTTGTAAAGTCTGCTATATAGCACTTGCTGTTTCGGTCTCTCAAGTTGCATATATGATTTTTGCATAAAACGCAAGATTACGTTATAATTTTAATGTCAGGATCATAAGTAGGACAATATAGTTCCATGCTTGTAGCATATCTCCACATTCAACTTCATTATCATCGAATCAAAAAATATATGTATTCAAAGGAATGAAAAATATCAACCGATATTTTGAGTAAAACAAAAAAGGGGGTTATCAGCCAGGCCCTTTCGACGAAAAGAAAGAAGAAGAAAAAGTTTTGAACTTGAGTTTTTTCTAAAATAGGCAAAATTCGAAAATCGTAAAAAGGCATATAGCGGATGACAAATTCCCGATTAAATATGTCTCACTTTGTCTCTAAAAAAAGAGACATTCAGCTTTTGCCTTAAAAAGACAGTAAAAAAAAATTACAAGTTTGCTAAATGACTTTGTTAAATCCCTTGGTTTTTTCTTTCAAAAAACGGTAGTTTTTCAATCCGTAAACATTTCTTGGAACATGTCGAGGAATATCGTATCTCTTTTTTATTATATTTACATAACCACTTCTCGAAAAACAAAAAAAAATGCAACTAAATAAATAATTTCTTATGTCGTAACTGATCGAAATTGCAAAATTTTCGCGCCAGATCAGCCTTGCTCTGTCACGATGTTTAAAAATCAATAATATTAAGTCAGGATGTTATAATGCTTGCTTCTTGTATCCTGATTGCTATTTTCAAACCCCTGATGTTTCGCAAATCTGCAAATAAACATATATTGCATGTATGTATTCACGAAGAATTTATATATAGGGAGATTGTGCAGATGTTTCTCATGAACCGTTATTTAGCCTGCAACCAATAGAAAAAAGTTCTCTTTGTTTTACTAAATATTTCGGTGAGAGGTTAATAAAGGGCAACAGCGTTAACGTCAAACAAAAAATGTCTGGCGAACTTCTAAATTGGCTAAATGCGACGGTCCATGGTCGTTATGAGAATATCGAAGAACTACGATCAGGTTAGTACTGATATTGGAATAGAAGAAAAAATCATTGATTAACTTAGTCGGTGTTGTAGGTGTCGCTTATTGTCAGATAATGGAACAACTGTTTCCCAAATGCATTGGAAGAAATAACATCAAAACCAATGCTATTTCAGAATACGAGTTTTTCCATAATCTAAACTTACTTCAAGATGCTTTCAATTGTATGGGTTTCGAAAAGAAAATACCAATTGAAGATTTAGAGCAAGGATCATGTAAAGATCATTTCGAATTTTTGCAATGGTTAAAGAAATTTTTTGATATTCATAGAACAGCTCAAGCCAATTTATTAGCACTGGCAAGAAATAACATTTCTCCAGAACCTATACAAAAGCCAACAACTAAAACACCAATAGATAGTGAACAAAAACCTTCAACAAGTCAAGCATCTTCGGAATCTTCAGAGAGGATGACAAGTCAACTATCTCACAGTATTAAGCGCAGGTCATCAAATAAAACTAAACCGACTTTAGTAACGTCTATGGCAAGAACTTTTCGTTCGCGTGATAATGCGAAACCAGATAATGCTCAAACTCGAAAACAACCAAAAACAACTTCGAACCGTAAAAAAAGTCCAAGTTTCCAAGTACTTTCTGAAAGAGTTGATCAGCTGCGCGAGCAATTTATTAATGTGGAGTATGAGAGAAAGTATTATTTAGAGAAATTCAAGAAAATTGAACTTCTGTAAGCATTAAATTAAATCTCCAATTATAATTCTACAAACATTTCCTGTTTATTCCATTGATGTTTGTTTACAGGCTTCAAGAGTCGATCAAGAAACAGGAGTTTGCTGAATTTCGCAATTGCGTTTTCAAAATTCTTCACGCAGTGGATGCTTACAAATCAACAAAGACCGCAATCGATAGTTCGAAGGATTAAGCTAAGGAAGCTGCTGTGACGGCGCCGTACATTTACTTTTTATCCCGTTTTTTAAGTTAAAAATTAATCCTCTGCAATCAAATTTCTAATCAAGCAACGTTTATTCTAAATAGTAAACCATAATAAAAGCGAAAATAAAAACCAAATTATTCGTTCTCATTATCAGAAGATGAATGGGAATTCGAACTGGCGTAATCGCAAACTAATGCCAACGATTTTGGCAAATCAAATAATTCAACGGTTGGGGTTCCTGTGTTTCGTTCGGAATTATTACATAAAGATGTAGAGTTTTGATCAGGTATATTTTCTTCTCCATTATTTAACAATTGTTGAGGAACGGAGTTTGTGGTCTGTGCTACTTTACCATTTAATTGCGCGTTATTAGTATCGTTTGATTCTATTTCAAGTAATTTTCTTTTAATGCCTAAATGCTCTGATTGTAAAGTCGAGCTAAGTGCTTTTTGTCTCTTTAGACCGCCAAATATTGTTGTGGTAGAGCCGGGTAAGGCCGGTGCCAAGAGTATATCCAAACGCTTCTCCTCCTGGCGTTCTTGAGCAGATTTACTTTGTAATTTCATAAGCGCAGCCATTTGACGATCCTGTTGATCTTCCGGAAGTAAAGTAATATCTAAACTACTTTTTGCCAGTAATCTGTCGTCAAGTTCCTTTTGGGCTTTAAGTTCTTTCTTCGTAGCCTGCAAAATACAAACTTAAATTATTGTATCCGATATGTTGATAGAGGGGAACACACTCGGAAGTCTGCTCTTAACTTGCAATTGGCTTCGTAGCAATCATCCCACAAAGTTTTATTACGTTCCAATAGTTTTTCAAGTACCGGCTTAGCTTGCTCTCCAGCCTTCAGATCTTTTGCTTGATGTTCCAATTTATACATGGCATCATCGAACAATCTCTTTTGTACCTCTTTAGTTTCGGGTACTACTTGTTCATTTTGTGTAGGATCCCAACGATTCTCCTGCCTACGAGCACCCGATAGTATCACATAATCTAAATTCGCTGGATCGGTTTGTATTTCGAAATGATTATCGCAAAGATGACACTTCATTCGGAACTTGTAGATCGGAGTCGAATAATACATTCCCACTTTGGTTTTTTCCGCATTGTAACGCACTCCCATGCCAATATGATTTTTGCAGCCTTCACACCATATATTATAAGGCATTTCAAAACGTATTATGATGATTCCCAAATGGATTTTCCGGGCTCTTTCACGCAAAGCATGTGTACCAAGGAATTTATTAAGGCCACCTTTCCTCGGATCATAATCCGGAGGATAATATTTATTTTGTCCTTTACGTTCACCCATGTTATTAGCTTAACTTAATTCGTATTCTTTTTATTAAAATAGAGTCGAATATGCTCAGCTTAACTTGCTCCAAATATCAGTAAAAAATTGCAAAACCTAATCATTGACTTTATTCAAAACAATTATTGTTTTTATTTTTGTTAGACGAACGATGTTGCCAACTCTCTCCGATTAAAGTCAAAAATATTGAATGAAGAAACTCTACAAAAAACGTTCTCAGCAAAAATAGACGAAAGTGAAATAAATGACGCCTAAGAACTCTAGAAAAAAGACGAATTCCGAATATACAAAATATATAATTCTAGTTGATCGACCAAAAATCTACATTGTAGGCATGTGTTAATTGGACAAATCGTATAATTATAGGTGCTTCCAACCTACTGGTATTAATTTTCAAATTTAACAAAAGTCTTTGTAAGACTTACGCCTTGTTTAATCTTTTTCCTAACTTGAATTTTTTTATATTTTGTGCTCTTTGTATTTTTGTGCTTCTGTTATCAACAACAGTTGTAGCGTTGTTCGCTAGCAGCCATTTGATTGCTTGCCCTTTCATTCTCATTATTTTTATGGACAATAATTATGTTAATGGTTTCTTAATATGACGTCACATTCTCTCAAACGTTTGCAAATCGGAAACATATACAGAAGCACAAATAGTCCGTAATAAGCTCCTATTTTGACTTTTGAAAAAAATGATGGACCATCTTGTCGTCTAGTTGTCTCTGTTAGAATGAAGATCACTTCAAAAGTATTCTCATTAAATATAAATGAAACGATATATATATCCATTTCTTAAAAGGATTAGTAATTGCAAACCATACAAATACATCCTGAATGCATTGTATTAAGCCGATTTTAAATTGTTTATTGTTTATCTTCTTCAGGAATAACAAAAGTTATGATTTAGAAAAGAGAATATTTCTCTCACGGCGAGTTCTTGCTATTTCCATATTTCATTTAACTTATAAATTGATATGAAAAAACGATTAGTTAACACTACTTAGATACATAGCAAACGTTGGTCAAACGTTCTTGCGTATCGTACGTATTATACGTCTTCTGCCACGCGCACGTTGTGTGTGAAATTAGAAGCATTGGGTAAAATTAGCATTTTCTGTCGAACAACAACAACAAGTATGAAAATCTATACGAATGAAGGCAATCCATTTGGATTGAAACTGCAAATTTTGGCGAAACTGGCCAAATGTGAGGTGACAGTTGAAAAGATTGGCATAAACGGTAAGCCCCTACCATCCAAATGGTATAACTTTTATTGACTGTTAATTCATTCAATTCTTTTTATTTATAAATGCAGATGATAAAACCAAAAATTTATTATTATTACCAACGCTGGAATTGGACAGTGGACTCATGTTGTTTTCTACCAACGCTGCTGCAAAATATTTTTTCCCGGATGAAGGTGAAAAGAGAGATGAGGTACGTGACCTTTTTTATATACTTTGAAAACTTTTTATCAATTTTTTACTTTCCAGTGGCTTGAGTGGTCCGTAAATGTTCTGGCACCCACTTTAGTCAATCTCACAGGTGTAGGTCATCATGCCAATCCACATGTTTTACCTATATTAAATATTTTGATTAAAAAACTTGAAGATCGCCTGAAATCTTCATCCTATTTAGCGGGAAATAGTGTCACTGCAGCTGATATTTCAGTCTGGTCTCTTCTTACGCCGGATAACATTTTAAATGATGCGAAAGATATTAATTGTTTGTCAAGGTGGTGTCAAAATATTAGCGATTTACCTGAAGTTCAAGAAATTACGCAAAAGGAACCAATTAAGTCTGTGACTTTTAATGCCTTACAAAATTCTAATCGTTATGGTGGTTGCTATCATATTCCGATCCCAGAAATTGCTATGGCTCGCAAACATTTCGTTTGCAGGCCTCCTGAAGATTTAAAAGAACCTAGAACCGTTCTACCAAAGCCTGGGGAAAAAAACGTATTAATTACTTCCGCGTTGCCCTATGTGAATAACGTGCCTCATTTGGGTAATATTATTGGCTGCGTGTTGTCAGCAGACATTTTTGCTAGGTATTTACGCGGCTTAAGATGTCATTAAGGCAAGAAGTGTTAAATTTCATTGAATTTTAGGTATTGTCGGGCTGCTGGCTATAATACTTTGTTCATTTCTGGCACTGATGAATACGGCACAGCGACCGAGAATAAAGCCTTAGCGGAGAAGTTAACTCCCAAAGAAATATGTGACAAATATTTCGAACTGCATAATTCTATATACCGTTGGTTTGGCATAGGTTTTGATTACTTCGGACGGACAACAACACAAGAGCAAACTGAGTAATTTGTATTTTCTACAACAAAGATTTCCCGATTTCATGTTTTTTTCTACATCAATATTTAGAATAGTGCAGGAAGCCTTCAAAGATCTCTACAACAAAGGATTTATAAACACTGAAAGCGTAGAACAACTGCTTTGTGAAAAATGCGATCGCTTTCTTGCAGACCGGTAATGTGTGACTGTTTTTTGCATATCTAGATCAATTTAATTGTTTCGTCGTATCATATTAGTTTTGTTGAAGGCGCGTGTCCTCATCCTGGCTGCGGCTATGAAGACGCCCGCGGCGATCAGTGCGATAAGTGTGGCAAACTGGTAAATGCAACTGATCTGATAAGACCACGTTGTAAGGTTTGCAATACTGCTCCTGTCATTAGATCATCTGAACAAATGTTCGTAGATTTACCGAACATTGAAAAAAAACTAGAAGGTTGGGTAAAAAAATTTGAATATGGTTGGACAAATAACGCACGAGAGATAACTCGAGCGTGGTTGCGTGAAGGCCTAAAACCGCGTTGCATTACGCGGGATTTGAAATGGGGAATTCCAGTACCACATCAGGGTTTTGAGCAAAAGGTATTCTATGTGTGGTTTGATGCACCATTCGGTTACATTTCTATGACCAAACGTTATACAAAAGAATATAAGCAATGGTGGCAACCTTCTAAAGGAATAGATGTCGAGCTTTACCAATTTATGGCTAAAGATAACGTACCGTTCCATTCTGTGGTTTGGCCTGGCGTTTTGTTGGCCATTAATAAAGGTCATGTCCTAGTGTCACATATCATGGCCACGGAATACTTAAATTATGAGGACGGAAAATTCAGTAAAAGTCGCGGCATTGGAGTTTTCGGTAATGACGCACAGGTAAAATAATTTGCAAGCAAATGAAATCATTTTTACACTAACGAAGAAAAACGATTATGTGTACAGAGCGATAAGGCTTAAAAAAATCCGATGATCGCTGAAGAAAAAAGAGTATGATTTAAATTTTATCCTTCGTTTTGTGTTTCGTATCACAGGAGACGGGCATACCAGCTGATGTTTGGCGCTTCTATTTGGCTTCTGCACGTCCTGAAGGCCAAGACTCCAGTTTCAGCTGGAATGATCTGGCAGCCCGTAACAACTCCGAGTTACTCAACAACTTGGGCAATTTCATTAACCGCGCTCTAGTCTTTTGTGATAAATATTATAACGGTACTTTACCCGAAATGAATCTCAGTAAAGAGGACGACATTCTCTTGATGTTTATTAATCGTGAATTGCGTGGCTATATACAGTCGCTGGAAAAAGCTCGATTACGTGACGGAATACGGTATCTGTTATCGATCTCCCGTCATGGCAATGGCTACATGCAAACCCATCAGCCTTGGGTACTCTTGAAGGGCAATGAGCAACAACAGGCCCGTGCGGCCACAGTTATTGGTTTATGTTGCAACATTGCCTGCTTGCTGGCGAATCTTTTGTTTCCTTATATGCCGACAACAGCTCGTACTATCTTCCAACAACTTAATACCAAACAAACAAGTTTACATGCAGAGTATGTTTCTCTTATTAAATTCATTTATATACATCTTATATGTCATTTTCTTGCAGTAAGCCTTACATTGATATATTGTTGCCAAGCGGTCATAAAATCGGTAAGCCTGCACCGATTTTTACAAAACTTGAGCAGAATTTCATAGAAGAAATGAAAAAGAAATACTCTGGTCCTCAGATCTTAAAGACCACTCTGACAATTGGTGAATTGGAAATGGCTGTGAAAGCACAAGCCGATAAAGTGCGACAATTAAAAGCGAGTACTAAAGACAAGACAGTTTGGCAACCGGAAGTTAATATATTACTTAATCTCAAAAAGCAATTAATGGAGGCTCAAAGCAATCAAGCATCCTCTACTGGTGACGTTGAGACAAAAATTATTAATAATTCGGATGTTAATTAATGTTAGATTGAGTCGTAGGTAACTTTCGTTTATTTATTAGGCATTTATTTTGTTTCCATTGATTAGCAAAATTATATTAATTTAAGAATTGATTGTAAGGTATTCAAGCTTGCCTTTACTGCCTTTAAAAGGTTGTCAAAGCCGGCAGCACATCCCATATTTTAAGGTCGAATTTTCAGAGCGGAATTTTACAAACCAATTTCTAATTGCCCGGTCAGTTATCCGTCCTTCACCGTATGCGCGGCATATTTTTTCAGCTGTCTTCTGACGGCTATTACCTCGTTTAATTTCCCAGAGCTTTACATGTCGAATATGCAGTTTTTAACTCTCCATTTCAGTGGTCAAGAAAAACGGTTGATGTCAACATGCGCCACATAACACAGTTGACGGAAGACTAACTGAATATTCGTCTATATAGTGAAAAGAGGAACTCTTTTGTTTCGGTGACTTATAGTGGGTAAATACGAAATATAGACTCTACTTATCTGCATCGGAAGTTACCTATGACTCGACCTAAAAAAATCAAAGATTTGGACGAGAAAATTTTAAAACAAGTTCATCCGACAATTCGAAAGCCTGAAGTTGAGATTTTGTTATCATTGAAAAAAAAAAAAAAATAAATGCTCTAACCGGTGTTACTGAGACTCTGAGTAAAAATAAGAAGAATAAATAATTTTTTGCGATGCCTTTTAGTACACATTGCGCCGTATTTACCTCTGCTTTGCTCAATTGCCATTGAATTATGTTCAAAACTTTTTGTTTTTATTTATTAAAAGTTTGTTTTCAAATCAATGCCAGTTGATTAAATTAATTTAATCTGTCTTTCAAAACTTTGAAAACTTCTAGGCTTATATTAGGGGTAAGTGATAAAAGAAACACTTGTGTGTGCAAATAGTTTATAATATCAACCAACCATTTGTCGCTAAAATAAATCGAGTAATTTTTTCACATGTAATTCTAAAATACAATCAATTAAATATAGAAAAAGCAATATTCGCAACATTTGCAGTTATGCAGACGGCAGGACTGAATATAATATTAGTTGATAACAACTTTGATTTACTGAGGATTTTGTGTAGCATTTGATCTCATTATCGGTAAAAAGTTATTTGAACGTGAATGGAAATTACAAACGTGTTGGATGTTATGATTTGACGAAGCGTGCATTTCTTCACATTTTTAATGGTAAGATATTCTATTTTATTGTTCCGTTATTTTTCGATTTCTAGCTATATAGCACTTCATTAGAGATAATTGTATAAATTAACAATAGACTGAGTGAATGTATTTCTTTCTGGAATAGAAAGCATTTTACGTGCTTGGAAGTCTCTTAAACATGTCTGTGTTCCTGTATTTTAGCTGTGCGGACGTAGATCTACCTTCTCGCGTACCAAGTGAGTGTTCGCGAGTTCAAGTCTCAAGTACGGTATAGTCTTCTTGGGTCGTAACTATATTGAGTGCTCAGCCGGTAAAGACATAACACTTGTCGATTGGACACACACTTCCACTGGGCTGCGGCCCGCCATCTCCTTCCTTCTTCCTCTTTCTTCTCTTCTTTAAGACGGTCCCATTCGTGTGACATGGCGACATTCCCCAATTGATGGGTCTTATTAAAAAAAAAATTGTGGACGAACTGCGGGGTCGCGTTAACTTTCTTTTAAATGCGTTATTACAATACGGGAAAAATTATTCATGCTCAGGCAAAAACTTTGTGGCCTCCATGGAAATAAAAGAAAAAAATCCTATGGACTGGCTTACTTGATTTTACATCTGAGGTTACTGTGAGGGCAGAATAAAAAAATGAAATATAATGAAATATTCTATCTAGATATTCTAGATAGTTTATGGGTGGGCATGACAGGTGCGATACAATCACTCATAAAACATGCGTTTTTTCTATTGTAAAAACCAACAATGCAGAGGTGTTCTCAACTTACGGAACAATTCCAATCAATTTAGCTCATTTTCAATATGAGCACAAAGCATGCAAAGAACTTTTCGTGTGCTAAATTTAAAGCCTTGCACAGATGAGCGAATGTGCATTGAACACAGGCGGGCAGACATAGATGCCTAGCCTCGTTCATTTCCATTGAATATACTTGCCTTTCTTTTCGCTCCAAACTTTTTGATAAAATAAATGTACCCAAATATTGGGGTGGTGGGTGTAAAAACCACTCCAAATTCTTCGTTTTTATGAAATTTTAAAGTGACGGGTTTCAGGGGCGTGGGTAGACGGACATGACTAAATTGAGTCTTCGGTGAAAGCTTTTATTTCAAGAGAAAATTTTATTGAAAGTATAGTCCATCGCTGCATGCACGCTTTTCCCATCTTCCTGATGGAATATGAAAATATGGAAGCATTCTTCGTCATCGTGATCTGAGGTCTTACCTTTTTCCTACCGTTGGTGTTGTTGTTGGATTCGGCTTTTGACACTTCTGATCTTCTATCGTGTTAATCTTTCATCACGCGTCACGGTTTGGCAATGTTTTCTTCGAATTAATTAGGAGATGTAAAGCATTTCTCCTTTAGCGATTTTTCCTTAACGTTACGTAACGTACACTTAGGTAAAATAACTTATACGTTTGCGTAAAGGTTTAAAATAATGCTTGAAAAAATCCTAGTTTGACATATGCTTATAGACAAATTAATGTCGTGGACAGGTAATGAATTGCTCATACAACTGACAAAGTCAGTACGTAAGTCGAAAACATTGGATAAATCCAGTTAAACTCCTTAGATAAGAACAAAACTATGCCACTTTATATAATATGCCAGTTTACATAGAACGAATGCCACGTTTGGAAGACTCCCGCTATTGGGCAACTGTTTGAGAGAGTCATTTGTAGTGAACCTTTACAAAAGCTATAACCGTACATCCCCCAGACTATTAACATGATTTTTTTTAATATGTAAAAATATATAATCACGAATCTAGAATCACGTTTAAGTTTCTGTCTACTAGTAAAACTTATCCATTCTTTTCCTTCCTATCTTTAATTTACACCTTCGAAGCCTTCTGCTGCATAAGTTAAGCAGCACTCTAATGACAGCTCCCAACACATTCAAGTTTGTAAAGAATGGCGGTCTTATTAAACTAACCATAAATAATTCTCACCAATTTCTCATTACATTCTTCAATAAACAAACCGCTCCTCTCCGGTTACAATTGTTTAGATTACCAGAATTGCAATTTAAGCGATCTGAACGAGTGCTGACTGGAAAGAACTGGTCATCGCTTTCTAGAGACATGAGTCAAGTTCGAAATATCTTTTTCGTATAATAAAAAATAGAATGTTCCATAAGAATATAAAAAAGCCGATGTATTTAATTTATTTACCTTATACCTTCGAAGTGGTTGGAAGAGAGTTCACGATATTTAATAATAAAGGCAACGCGGAAAATTGCGGGGAATAGCTTAATCTGCAAAAGTTGATTAATTGGTCAGAGTAGAATTTCTTGATGAAATAATCTAAGAAAAGAATCGGAGGGTATTCGCGAAAAATATGAAATGTTTCTGCGAAAATGTCAAAGTTAAATTGAAAAAAAGACTGACCTTAGAATGTACAATATTTGAATTATTTATTTTGTATTGAAGGGAAGAGACTATATAATATATACATAAGCAATAGAAAAAGCAGACAGACATAACATAACTAAAATTGCATAAATATTCGTTTAAGGCTTAAATTGTTATTACTATTTCATCTTACTACAGAAGTTACTCTTTATACTAATATTACGTGTTAAGCAGTTAATTAAAGTGCTTGATATATGCAATTGTATGTAATGTAATGTTATTATTATTGAAGGTGTCTTAAATTTCATCTTTTTAACACTATATGTACAAACTTCTCTTAAAGGACTAGTATATTATAATTAAAGAGCTTCTCTTAAATTCTAACTAAATAAATAACTAGAGTATGCGTACAAGTAAGTTTAGCACAAATTTAAAAATTTCTTAAAACGTTTCCTCCTCTTTTTTTTTTTTTTCTCTAACCTATTTATCAAATTTTTATTGATGAATAACTCATTTACATTAGGCATTGAATAATAGCTACTTGAAGAATTTTTTTGCGGTAATCATTTCATGTAGTAACTAGTTGGTGCCCGGCCAGAAGTGTAAGTGCTCATAGGTATGCCCTGCGGTCCTGGTATATGATTGCTACTCACATGTGAGTGAGTTGTAGACTGGTTTTGTGAACCATAAAGACGATCAACGCTGGTGCTGCCAATCCCGTTACCCGATGGTTCATAGTCAACATCGTAATAAATGCCGGATTGATTCTGACACGGAAATGTGCAATTAAAAGGAGGAGTCAACTAAAATGTGAAATTACTTACCGTTATGCTGCCATTACTTCGACTCTTTGGTCTGGGTACTTGAAAATTTCTTCCCAGCAAATCGGTTCGATCCTCTTCTTCACTTGAACTAGAATTTTCCAAAGCACGCATACCGTTCGAACGTGAACTTAATCCCAATCTTCTGGAAGAATGTGGATTCAAATCAAAAGTGTTATCTTTTTTTTCTAATAAAACCCGTTTATACCGCGGTAAAGGTACTGGTGGTGCCCCCGCCATAGGACCAGTTTGATGCATTTGCTGCATACTGCTTTGCATTGATAGACCACCTATTGTGTTACTGATAGCAAGGGCCTGAAGATTAGGATATGCAAACATGGCGGAAGACGGTCTGGTCGGTCCTCCAATTGGTTCAGCCTGCAATTACCAACAAAATATCATTTCCATTATTCTAAAATGATGCGTCCAAATTGTATCAGTTCTACGTACCGCATAATGATTACTTTGAGCCATAACGTCTGCTATTTGAGCCCAACGCATGCGATCCTCTAATGTTACCTGATATCCGGGTTGCGGTAGAGCGGACGATTTGAGCGGTGCGGCGCTCATGTAACCAAATATTGGTGAGCCAATAGCGTTCTTCTGTTCACGCTGCCAGCGACGCGACCACATTATCAAGCACACTAATGTCAGAACTATAATAACCACAGCAGCCACTGAAGCTCCAATAGCGACACCCAAAACTTCACCATCTATTTCGCATTGACCACCGTAATGACTGGAATCACAGACACATATTTGGTTTCCGTCGTTGCTATAACCACAGGTACCATGGCTATTGCAGTAGGTATCCGGACACGACTGGCATTCCCGTCCAGCTCGATAAGGTTGATCAGCCCATGGATCCCGGGTACCAGGCGGGCAAAGACAACGAAAACTACCCCATGAGTTGCTGCAAGTAGCACTGGGATGGCAATCATTTAAATGCTGCGACTGACATTCGTTGAGATCGCGTAACGCAGATATTGCTCCTTCGGGTGTGGTTACATATAAAACTGAATTGCCGATGTTGTTGTTGCGCCTATGCAAAACTCCTAATAAATGTTTCTGGACATCACTACGTAAGTTTGGTCGTAACGTTTCCACGCTTTCATCCAACTGGAAATTAAGATTTCTTTAAATTAAAATGACGTTAAAATTCCTTTGCCAAACTCACCTTAATAGTTAAATTAACAAAAACTCCGCTACCGCCTAGACTGGGTTCACTGCGGTAAATATTATTCACACGGGCCTCCATAAATTCATCTGAATACGGTGTCATAGACATGGCAGAATCAATCTTTTAAAAGAATGTAAATTTATTTAACCCTCCCATTAGTTTGAGTTGAAATAAAAAAGTTATGATAATTAGATCATGATGTGATGATCTTTGAATAAAAATGCGAAAAAAGATATATGCGAAAGGATACACGATGGAGGGAATAATACTTTCAAAAATTTTACGGCAACTCACAGGTAATTGCACGGATTAAGCAACCCGCCGTGTCTGTCTTTCCGGCAAACTGAAAGATGGTTTTAAGTAACTCTTAAGGGACGCGAGTACTTTAGTAAATAAAAGTTTAATCCTTAATCTAACCTTTACATTGTTAAATAATCGAAGGAAAAGCGACACCTGTTGGTTTCTTGTTTATTATGGGTACGGCCGTAATGTAGTTTAAACGATTCTAAACTTAATCCGACAAGCGTGAAAGTAAATAGTGTGGGAGCCAATCAATAACATATTCATAACAAGATCCGACTTAGAGGCTCTCATTTATTGAGTATTATTAACGATGAACTTAAAATGTGCCTGTCTGAGTCGAAATCTTAAATCTTCTCTTCTTCAGATAGAGCTTTGTAATGTGAAATTCGTAAAAATAATACAAAAACGAGCTTACGAAAATGGATTTTAATTTTCTGTACTTACAGCGCGGATAGATTCGTAACTCAGTTGCCCATAGGGGTCGCTATTGCGATCAGCTAATTTATTGTCCCAAACAATACGATGCTCATAAATACGATCAATTCTCATACTTATATAGAAAGTTATTACGCGGCGACAAGGCTCTCGATGTTTACGCCTTGAATAGCCTGAAAGAAAATTAAGTGAATGACGCCTAGTAGGGCATTTAATGGTTCTTACCTGGTCTACAATGACAACTTGAAACGCCATTTTCCGTTTTGCAGTATTCATGTTGAGCTTGATCACATGTTGAATCGTCACCTACGATACATGTATCTATACGTACCGGCGGCTGTGTGGTTCGTGGTCTGTAATGAGGGCGAGAGGACGATACTGCAGTTGTCGAAGTCGAGACCGCTTGCTTAGGTTTGAAACTATGAGCTTGGGTCACTTGAAAATCCACAATCTCTGTTTCAGCTACACCATAATTTGGCCCGGATGTAGGCGTTTCTAAGTTTTCAAGCTCGTTGTTGTCTCCACTACCAGTACTGCTACTACTACTACTACTAATGCTGTCACTCGGCGTTTTATTTGGAGTTGTTGACGTTTGAGATGGTATCATTGTTGCAGTCGCTGGGCTGGTTTGAGTACCAATAGGGACACCTGTGGGATCACCAAAGAAATTGATGTAAGTACGCTTACCATCGATCGAGACGAAATTTTGTTCACCTGAAGCGGATACTATTACATCGGATCCACCATAGGAACCATATGGCTTTATGTTGATAGTTTGCTGGGAACCACCCTTCGAACCAGGTCCTTGAATAGCCGAAAGTGTTACATCGAATATTTCACCATAACCGGGTGGTAAATGTTGGCGCGTGGGTTGTATGTTAACGTGAGAAATTGGCGGACGGGATGATGGTTTTGGTTGTTGTAAAGGACGTTTTGGACGTGGACGACCTCCTGGCAAAAATTCAGGATCATCTAGTACAATACCCGGACGTGATTGATACTGAGTTGGGAGAGTGGGCGTTGTTGGGTGGACATTAGAGGATTGTGGTATAGCTTCGGTGGTAGTAGAAATAGTAGTTGAGGTAGTAATAGTAGTAATTCTGGAATATGAAGTAGTAGTAGCAGTAGTAGAGGGTGGGGGAATTGGGGTTACTGTTGTTGGCGTTATTTCACTTTGTAAGTATGTTAAATTAGTTATGCCGCTAAAATCAGCCGAATCGTAATCATTTACGAGAAGCGGTTCCGTAGAAATCGTAGAAACGGTTGCCGAAGTAATTGACGGTTGCGAGGCGGAAGTCGTTGGTTCTATTAAAGCGCTTTGAAGCTCAGGCGTTTTGCTTGAGGTCATAAAAATTACCTCTTCTTCGGTTAAATGATCGATATTTATATCTTCATCTACAGGCACTGCCAGATGAGTATAGGTAGACGAGGAATGAATTTCAGATTGCGTTGTCTCCGCAACGATTGTTTGTTTTTTCTTGTCTTGTATTTTGTGTTTATTGGGTTTCTTTTTTGCAGTCATTTCTTCTTTCTTTGGTGGAGAGGATGGTGACTGTATTTCTTCATTTATTTCGTCCGCAGGTTTATTAGAAAATTCAGCTTCACCGTCGTTGTCCGACACTTCAATGTATTGTGTGTTAAGATCTTCGTTTGAAAATTCCGAATCGAAAGTTGTGTCCGTAGGTAGAGGATTATCTGCCGATTGTTCAGCGTCTTCCTCTTCGTTCGGAATCTCTTCGTTCATAGGTGATGATGGGGTAGCAGGAAGGCGAGAGATATGCTCTTCTTCTTGAGGTGGTTGCATTTGAGGTGATGGTAAAGGCTTGTATTGGGGTATAGGGCGTCGACCGCCTACCGATGTTGTGCTAATTGGCGGCCTAGGTTTATTACGATGCCATGGCGGACGATTACTTACGAAATTTGGACGATATGGTACGATTTGTTCTGGTATCGGTACGCCGGTTATAAAAGGTCGATCAGGTCGATCAAATGGATAGGGGGGAGGGCGTATAGAGGTTACTCCACCTGATGGCTTATGCCCATCATACTCCAATGGCATTGTTTGAACGTCAGAAATACGCGGTGGACCACGATTGTTGATACGACTAGCGGTTGGTCGACGTATGCCTTGTGTATTGGCATGAACATTGACGTTTCCATTTAATAATTTAACAATACCAGTTATAATGTCTTGAATATCAGGGCTAGGATTTTGACGGGCATTATGAGCTATCGCTGTAGCAGTAGCTACTGTCGAGGTCGCAATACTCGTCGTTGGATTGATGAGGGACCCCGACGTGATTTGTCGAAGGTCCCCATTTACTAAAAAAGAACCGGTCGTCGTTCTAGCATCTAAACTAGATGATTTTAAAGTTTTCCCACTACGAACTTTTTGCGTAGGCTCAAAGCTATTTTTTTCCATTTCCAATGTTCCGGTCGGCTTTATATTATATTGGAAATAACGACCAGCTGCGGCCTCTTTTTCACTCTCGCCTGGAAAGTTAACATTATTAGGGCCAATTTTCGGATAATTATCATTCAAAATAGGCTGAGCCGAACGCATTACACGAGTATGCTCTCGCGTATCATTATCTAGGCTAGCTTGTGGTTCGGGAGCATGTCTAGTTGAAAAATCACGCATTGTAGTTTCTAGTTTGACCTTTGACCTGCTAATCAATGGATTTGCTAAAGATCCATGAATATGACTGTTGGATTTTGGTGATATTTGTGATATGTCTTGGACACATTCTAAAAAAAGTAGAGAATTGGGGGAAATATCTAAATTAATAACTTTATTCAAAACATACTTTTGTCGAATGCAAAATGTTACGATACGAATGTTGTGATTGTAACAATTCCACTTTTTTATACCCACCACTGTAAGATCGGGGTATACTCATTTTTTTTTTCAAAAGTGTAAAATTCAAAACGTAGCTTCATAAACCCGTCCGCCTGTGTGGTGTGTGTTTTTAGCATTCTCCTGGTCGCAAAAATGAGGATATCGACTTCAAATTTGGTAGAAACATTGGAAGTTTCTGTATTGAAAATGAACTAAATTGGTCAGAGCAAAGGCGCGCAATGGAGCGGAAGCTTAACGCAACTCCGTCTTCTTTAACAAAAATTTTTGGATTTTTGCTTGTTACTCGGAAATTATTGAAGTTAGAAGGTTGAAATTTTCCACATTTGCTTTACGAGACATTTTATTTTCTAGGTCCAAAAGTGGAAGCAATCGGCCGTGTCCACAAAAAGTTACGAATAATTTAACTTAATTTTTTCCACTTTTTCGAGGTTTAATGCTTATTTACCACAAAACAAACAGAACAAAAAATTTAAAACTATTTTGTACACTCCTCAAGTGAAGAAATATTATTTGCCTAAAAATGGGTTAATTTGAAAATGAATATGGTGGACATCGCGAATAATTTTTTCTTAACAATACCAGCGATATAGGTATCAAATAAAAGAACTTGGAGAGTAGAATGCGAAAAGCATAGCGGTGGGTATGCGAGATTCGGCCCCGCCGAATATGAGTTTCTTACTTGTTTTTTTTTTTTTAAATCCACATTGTTTTTAGTCATTAATGCTAATTATGGCAGAAATAATAACCAGAACTATAATTACATGAGTAAAATAAAGTTATGCTCGTTTTTAAGTGAAGTTTCTTTAATGTAATTAAGTACATGAGGACCGCATTACCCTTAAGATAAAATAAACTGTCAAGCTATCAAGCAGATAATGATGACAGCTATGAGATGATTTAAGCGCTGGATAGCGGGTACTGGCCTGAAGTATTATCGTTGTACGTACAACTGTAATAAATTTTGTTTTACATTAACTTTTAGAACAAGAATTTCTACTTCAAGTAAGAATATTTAGAATATCTTTAAAATAAATCGATGCATAAATAATATGAACAGCACAAGTTTGAAGGGAAAGTCTTAGGAAAAAATCTCCTCATAATTGTTATTATAGCTCATTTCGTTTGTGCTCTTATTACACCCTACGTCATCTTTGGTACAGGAGTGTATCAAGTTCCTGTGGATGTACGCAGTACGCAGAAAGACTTAAAATAGAGTCACCTATTATTATACCGATCGATTGTGAATCACTTGCCGAATTGATCTAAGCTTGTCTGTACGTCTGGCTACCTGTTCATCTTGTTTTCTTGTGTTCCCTTAGGTCGCGATTGAGACATTCTGATGAAACTTAGTACACCGACCTGTTTTAACATAAGGACAAACACTAAGGGCCGTTTTTTTACTCCCCATATAACGCCTTGTTTTAAGCAAAATAGTGCAGAGTATTCTGAATGGGCCGTGTTCCTCTAAAACGTCTTTTCTTGTTTTTTTACAAATCTCTAATAATTGTTTGTATTGTTATCGTGAAGTAGTGAAGTGTACGTTGCCGATGCCAAGTGTTCAGTGCATTTAAATTTGTTGTGACTATTGTTTGTTTTCATTGGAAGCTCTAGTTACTTATTGGTATTTGTAGATCTAGATTTTTTTCCTCGAATTTGATTCATTAAGTGATTTTATGTTTAACTTTATTTATAATACCATAAACGAAATCAGATTCCAGCAGTCACACTGTTTTTATATAACATTGATAAAAACTCACTTCTCTGACAGTCCTACTGGCCTATAACTCTTGCAGAGATTTTTATGCCAAATGGATGAATGACATAAAACACGTTTACGTTTTGGTTATCTTTTCTTTAATAGTTTCGAACGGCCTTTGCATCACAGATACGCACACGGTTTCACAAAAGTGACAATTAAAAAATATCATGTTTTTTTTAAATTTATAAATTTTTTCCATAAATAAATAATTGCAACATAACAATTATTTGTTATTTTTTCTTCTGAGAGTGCAGATGGTGCTGGTAAGAAACCTGTCTACAAGCCTTTGCCGAACACGTTTAATGAAAGTGAAAAATTGATTTTATTAAAAGACATTGAGTTAATTATTCCAGCAGTGAAGTTCATTTAAATAAAAGGTAAAACACAAAACAACAAAATTGCAACTGGTTTTATATCACAATTAATGCTATAACAGTTATGTTGGATCTATACAACTTTTACATCAACAATCGAAAACCGATGGTATTTTTATTTTTATTTTGTACGTAAGCAATAAAATTTAAAACAATTTTTTAGCGCGAAGTTTATCTCCATTTCAAAATAATTAATTACTAAATACATTCATGTACACATATACCGATAAACCTCCACATTTAATTATGTGGCCAACTGACGTCTCTTTCATTGTACTAAGTTGTAGGTATAGCTGTATGATAAAATATGACATCGTATGGTGGACGCTAAAAATGCATTTTCGGACGACGAAACTTCGCTTTATGATATCAGTGCAAATCAGAGGTGGGCAACTTTTTTGATTAACGAATCAACTTTAATTTGCATTTCACGGCGAGGCCGAGAACAACGTCCACAACTACTATTAAATATTAAACATTCTACATCAGTTTTCACATCACATCACACGTACAGCTGAGCTGGTGTTGGGGACAAACATAATTTTTTTTTACATGCAAACAAGCGAAAATAATAAAGTGCAACCAGGCCCATTAAATACCCTACAACACCCTATTATTATTCATATAATGATTATCCAAAATAGAGTTTTATATAAGAAGAGGTCGAAAAAGTGGTTCGATCCGACAAACGCAAGTGAAAACAATAAAATGAAACTGGGTTCATTAAGTACCCCACGCCATACTACAGTTATTGATAAAACGACTTTTTAAAATAATACGTTATATGGGAAGGGGTCGAAAAAATTGTTCGATCCGAACCACTTTCAACAGCGTTTGTCCTTGGCCTAACATATGTCGGTTTACCAAATTTTATCAAAATGTCTTAAAAATTGCGACCTATAGGTTAACCGCAAAAAAAAAAACACGAACAGAAAAGCTTACATCGACGAAGGAAGTGATTCTAAATCGATCAGTATAGAGGAAGGTGAGTCTATCACAAGTGGTTCTAGGTATTACGTACATCCGAAAAAAATCAACATATCCTTGTACCACGAGTGCTGGGATGGGATATAAAACTCGTATATTTGGTATGACTTTAAAAAAAAAACCTTTCTTTATATGACCAATTACTCAGAGAATGACTTATAATTGTAACAGCATCATAGTCAGAAGTAAGTAGGTAGAGAGCGATAGATAGGTGTATCTTGGATCGATGTGTCATGCGTTTGCCATCCAAGCTTTAGGTGTAGCTACAGCCATACAGCAATCTCCCTTAAAGGTCATATTCTACCGCTTTACATTATAATCGTCCTAGATTCTTAATTACCTATATTCGAATTCCTTCTATCTGTTCTACTTTTGGAGCCGCGATTTATACTAGTCTCTGTCAAATGTGGCTAATATACCTAACCTCATTTTTTATAGGAATTACTAAAATTACAAAAATTGCCATGAAATGTTAAAATTCGGTGTCCGTAGTTATGTATACATTCTTATATATATATATTGCATATACATTGTATACCGAGTTAGAAGATTCTACCAAAATGCCGACGTAATCCCTTCTTAAATACGTGGGTATAAGACAAAAACTTGCAGCAATCTCGGATAGAAGCGATAATTTCATCGTATTTTGATCAACAACTTAAGATCTTTGTAGGTGAATTTCCGAACAAGTTTAATATCGTCATTTGTCTGGTCCACCGACAAGTTCGATCTAAAAGTGGTCGCAACCAAGTCGGCAGCTATTGGTATATATAAGTATAAGCACATCTTCGATAGCAATCCATATACAAGTAATCCCTAACAGTTAAATAATGTTGCAATCGCTATCTGAAGCATAGAGATAGAAAATCTAGAGTATTCCACGTCCGAATGGTGGATGGACAAAAGGGAAGGCAAACGTGGCTACACCAAGTCTTTTGCAGGTCGTCAAATTTTATTATAAGAAATTCTTTTAGAAAAATAATCAACTTTGTTTTGAGATTTCGTTTAGGGCTTTGCAAATACCAGCTGCTTAATGCATGTTTTCACTCTTAAATGCCAGTGCAATGCTTTTACAAAGAAAGTTCACTAAAGAACCGCTAGGCAAATACCGCACACTCCCTAATACCAATAAGAATGTTGCTTTGCTTTGTTTTATTATAAGCAAAGAAAAAGACTTGAACGATAAATATAAACTTTTATAATGTAGAAAACAAACCGCAATTTATATGCGAACGTTTAAAATCTGTACAAGTTTTTTAATGTTAGAGACCGAGACCACTTATCGTCCAAATGGGGAAAATGCAAATCTACGCTACAGGTGGAGTAATATTTAATAATAATTTACTAAATATTCCTAAACGCAAATACCTTAACGAGTAAGTGGAAAGCTGTAATTGTTCGCTACTGATGGATAGAGGTACATACGTTCGGCCCTACGCTTATATACATTACAATATATAGTTAACATATATAACGAGTGTATACCGTCTTCATGAGATACCATTTCGAGCTCGTTTAAGTTCATACCCGGTTATATTTTTTTGTTTGCTTTTGAAACGCCGATGGCCGCAAAAATTTAGATGGAAAGCTAAATCTCTGCGTAGACATAGATCACTCATGCCATCAATAGATGAAATAGTACGACATATAATCTAGGGCATGTAACGGTTGACAAAGACAGTTTGCAGATAGTCGTCTATAATAAACTTTTTTACTTTTTACACCTGACACCACTGCTACAATTTGTGCGGACGTACTTTGGCCCAGG